ACACACACACACACACACACACTTTCCCATCGCCCCATCCTCCAAGTACAGTTAGACAGTAATAATATTGGATCACTATTCAGTTTGCATTTTTGTAATGGTATTACTCAGAACTGGTCTATATGTGCTCATTTAATTCTTTCCTGCACAATGTTTTGTTTTCTCTGGGATGCATGAGCATTTAGGGTTTTCCCACCTTGGTTTTTTATATACTCACGGCTAGTTCAATCCAAAACTACCAACCAGTCACCTGACTCTCCTCTCAGACAGTGCGTCATATCATGAAGAAAGCTTGTTTGGAACCTTTTCCAAGCTCCCGTCTGGACTGAATACTCTCTAGGCCCGGGATCTCTCCCTCTATCTCCCTAGGCATTCTCCTTGCCTTTCTACTTCCTACTTGTTGGGCCCACCCTTCTCCTCAGTTGTCTCTATCGCTTTGCTGAAGCACATGGAGTAGTTTCCTGAGAAATTTTGATAACTTTGGTACCTGAAAAAGACTATTCTACCTACACATGTGCTTGGAAGTCTGACTGGGTAAGGAATTCTCTAGGTGGACTCTAATTTTTTCTTCAAAATTCTGAACACCATCCTCACTGAGTTCTGTCTTCTGTGTTGCTGCTGAGCAGTTCCAGATTCTCCTGTTTTTTCCTCCTCTCTATAATTTCTTGGTCAGTGTTCTGAAACGTTATAATGATGGCACCTTGGTGTGGGTGTGTATTTAAGTCTACTGTGCCAAAAAGTCAGTGGGTCCTTTCAGTCTCTACATTTATATCCATGAGTTCTGAAGAAATGTTCTGAATTATTTTGGTGGTGGCTTTCCTCTATTTCCTCTGCTCCCTCCCCAGTTTCCGTATTATTTGGGTAATGAGCCACTTGGATGGGTCCTCTAATTTTCTTATCTTAATCTCTCCTATTTTCCATGTTTTATTTTGCTATACTCAGAAATCTCTTCAATTCTGCTATAAAATCCTCTATTTTGTGACCATGTCTTCAATTATCCAAAGGTTTTTGTCTTCTGAATATTTATTTTCTTAAAAGCACCCTGCTCTTGTTTCATGGTTGCCATTTCTTTGAATGATGGTTGATAAACATATGTATGTTTTTCTTTTCCAGCTCAGCGTTTATTTCTTTGAACCCGTCATTTCTCTTTTGGGCTCTTTCATGTTACAGATTTCCCCAAATATCCTTAACTACTCATATCTGAGCATGAAGAATGGCAGCTGGAGTAAAGCCATTGAGGAGGCTGAGGGCACAGAGGAGATCCCTTGGTCACAACCTCAGCGCAGGATGAGGCAGTAGGACTGCTGCAGTAGAAAAGTCAGGTGGTCAGATCGGTCACCGAAGACCTTTCCAGCCCTCCGTCTGTAGAGTGGGGGTCTGTCTGCCAGTGTACTTACTGCAGGCCTTGTGGACAATAAGAGAACATGAGTTCTGAGGATCTTACTTATTTGGCCTGGTTTTTCCCATGCATGTGAGCTATTCTGAGCCTCTACAATATTTCTGAGTCTATATTCTCTAGTACAGAGAGTCTTTTCATCCTCTCAGGAGGACACATGTCTCTAGGCACCCACAGCCCTCACAAGCGGATTTTAAGATGTAACTGCCTCTCGAACAGCTTTCCACCACTACAGACGATGGCCCCTTTCAATCCAACAGCCAGATACATCTGTTACAATTCCTGGAACTTTGAGAGATGCTATCACAGAAACTGGCTTGTCCCTCACATCTGCCACATCCATTAGCACACGACCATCTGCATCCAACTTCCAACATG